AGCCCTCCAGGGGCTTCTGATGCAGCTAAGGTTTGAGAAGCACTGGTTTAGAGCCATAGGGGAAGAAGCTGAGACTCACCTATGGTAGGACCAGCCTTAATTCACTGGCTTGGGACTGTTGCAGGTAAACTGAACAGGATGGCAAGGTCTGGACTGGGGAGGAGACTAGAACTCACAGTGGCTCAGACACAGAGGGGCTAAGATTGGGCGATGGCAGCAGAAAAATGCATAAGGGAAAAAGCTGGTTCCAGAAGGATACAAACATGATACTATGTATATGAAGTCTAAGAAAACATGCAAAATGATCACCATATATTGATTGTGGATACAAATATCTGGAGTAAACATGCATATGAGAGATGCATACAAATATAGCATGTGTAACAGCATGGGAGGAAAAGATAAACATCTCATTTAGGATGGTGGTTACCTCTTGGGGAAAGAAAGGGAGGGGGATCCTGTTGGGGAGGGCTCCAACTGTTTTTGTAATGTTATATTTCTTAAGCTGGATGGTGGGTACACAGATGTTGATAATATTATTCTCTGTACCTTTGTGTAGGTCTGAAATATTTCCTAATAAAAAATGAGAAAAATAAAAAGAGGAAAGAGAGAGAATGGGCTTAATCTCTAGCCTCTGTTTTTAAGGGGGGAAAAAAGGTGAAGTCGTATTTGACCAGAGGCTTAGAGAAGGGGAAGAGCCTGGGGTTTGAGACTAGAGGCTCATTTCTGCATTTAGTTAAGGCTTCCAAAGTGCTCTCTTGGTAGCACTGATACCTTCTCTCATAGTCTGTGGTAGCACATCTCATATTCTAACATATTAGCATTACTTTTTTAATTGAGGTGAAATTCATTTAAATTTAAAAGTGAACAATTCAGTGACAGTCACAATTTTATGCAACCACCACCTCTTTAGTTCCAAAAGAATTTCATCACCCCAAAACCCTGTACCCATTAATCAGTCACTTCCCACCGCCCCATACCCCCCAACCCCTGGCAACCGCCACTCCACTTTCATCTCTATGAATTTACCTATTTGGGACATTTACTATAAATGAAATCATACAATATGTGAACTTTTGTGTCTAGCTTCTTTCACTTGGCATAATGTTTTCGAGGTTCATCTACATTGTAGCATGTATCAGTACTTCATTCCTTTTTATGACTGAATAATATTCTGTTGATGTATACACTGCAATTTGTTTTTCCATTCTTCTATGAATGGACATTTGCACTGCTTCCACCTTTTGGCTATTGTGAATAGTGCTGCTATGAACATTCGTGTCCAAGTATTTGTGCATTACTTATATATATATATACGTGTATTTATTCCCTCCACCCCGCCACCCCCTGGACTGTGAACTTCTGAATGGTTGGAACCTGAAAAGTTTTCATGTTTCTTTCCCAAAGCAATAGGTACTGAGTTTTTCACTTAGTAGGTGCTCCACTAATGCCTGTTCAAGTGAAGTAAACTTAACACCTCCGCAATCCTTTTTTTGGTCACAAGTGTTGACGTATTAAAATGTATCATCATGTATTCCTTATGGCTAGAACCACATGGTGAGACAGAGGCACAGGCCCTTTGTCATCATTCCTGAAAATGAAAGAGCAGGCCAATAGACAGTTTTCCATATAGTGTGATTTGAGGGGCTTCAAACTGGTGCTGATTTGTCGATGTTTATGCTGTGCTAGTTGTTAACATGGTATTCCTTTCAGACCCAGGCAAGAGGGACCTCTGTCCTGAGCTCCATGCTTTAGAGGCCCCACTTCGGCTCTCTTCAACCACAGCCCTCCCTACAGGGCCAGGAGCCCAGCCCTGGGAACAAGGGGTGTGCCCCTGCTAGACCATGCTCCAGGTACCTGGCACCTCTGCACAGTCCCAGGACTGCTGCCAGGGCCTGCATGCTCCTCTTGGAGCTGTCCTTGGGAGGGCTGACTGCATGGCCGGTATGTGCTCCCAGGCCCAAGGGAGGGTTGTATGCCCCAAACAGGGGATGGGGCCTGGTCTAGGAGCCGGGACAGGGGTAGGGGGAAGGGAGAAGGGGCAGCTCTTCCCACACCATTGGAGCAGAACTTAGAGGAATCCAAGAATTCTACATCCCAACCAGGACTTTCAGGTCACCACGAAGGTATATTTGTCATGGAAGGAGATAAACTATTAAATAAAACATGCTGTATTAGGTGCTTTAAACATTCAAACATTTAGACATATGGTATTTGGATCCCCAACTGAGCTCTTTTTCTGAACGCTGCAAATGTTACAAATGTTACAGGAGGGCCAGGTTAAATATCTGGTCTATCATCCCTTCCCCTTGCTCATTCCGTGTTATACTTTGTTACCTGCATGCAGTGGGGCCCTCTCCTTTTGATAATGGCTTGTTCCAATAGCCCATCTTGCTATAGGACTTGGACCTAGTTCCTGGGCCCGACTGGAGTACAACCACCATTTTGCCCCCGCTACTCACTCCCATCTGCATTCTCTCGCCTGTCCTTCTCTTTGCTCTCCAGGTGTTTACATACATGAAAACCCCCTCTTCAATACCACTTTTCCCCATACAAATACCCACCTGGGGGCCATCAGCTTGATCAGGCACACCTACATGGGGGCCCTTTATGCCCCGCACAACCTCTTAAGATTATTTTGCTTCTCTGACAAACCTCAGGTCTGCGTTGTCAACATCCTATTTGATTTCTCTCCCTGTGTGACAGAAACAGACTACAGAATAGGTGTTATTAAATTTATTTGCTTTGCATATAGCAAAAATCAAGAATGCTAAAAGAAGCTGAAAACTTGTCCGAATGTGCCTCTAGGCATTAAAAAAACACTTAACCCTTTTACTTAAACACAGAGTTTTGTTGTTAACTGTGGAAAAGAAATTGTTAATGGAGAGTTCTCAGAGTGAGAATAACCTAATAGTGGTCCACCCTGAGAGAAGGGGGAAGGGAGGTATAACAGCTACTCTACCAGAATTACCTGGGTAAAGGGCATTGATCAACCTTAATGAACTGTTCACTATGGGAATACAAAGGAAAGCAAACCCAATCAATCAAAAACCAAGCATTATCAAAAAGGCAAAGATACAGTATCAGGAAAAATAGATGTTTTATAGAGAAAATGCAAATTTCAGCATATGATTGTACAATGTCACATTATACCATCATCAGCAAAACCAAGCACCAAGGGTTTAAATAAGCTCTGGCACCTCACTCTGTCTCTGATTTTTTTTTTTTTTTTTGCATGAAGCAGCATGCCACTCAGAATTTAAAGGCACAGTTATGTCTAGGCCTGCATTTCTGTTCAAGCAAAGTAGCCCCAAGGTGACAGAGGCAGACACAGTGAGAGGTATACTAAGAAGACACTTCTGGGTCTCCCAAGAAAATGAGCTAGATACTGTCCAGGCATCCAAAGGGAGCTCTCAGTGTTTGGTGTGTCTGGAGGATGGAATAAAGGGGAAGGACTTGGGGGTGAGTGGTTCAGTGGGGAAGTTGGGGCTTTCCAGCCTAGTAACTTTTGAGGTGTGTGCCTCTAGGAATGAGGGCAGGGAGAGGCTGATTTAATCACTTAAGGCTTCCAGTTAGCAGAAAGTTAATCGTTCTACGGCTTTGAGATTGTAGTCTTGCTTTGGGCTAAAATCTTGTGAAACAGAGGCTGCTGAGGGAAAGGATCTAGAAACTAGGCTACATGGAGGTCTCCAACTTAAGGCTGGAGCCAGGGGGACAGACAGCTCTCCAGTGGCCCCAGACTTCCTCGTGGAAGGCTTCCCATCTCCTGATTGAAAGTACAGCTTTTGGCATCTGTAGAATTTTGAATTTCAACAGGGTCTTAAGTGCTTACAAAACAGGATATGTATGACATCCAGTACATTTCTGAGCAAGTGGAGAGGGTCACAGTGATGTTGGGGCAGAAGGTCAAACACTAATGGACTAACCATCCAGAGGAGTACAATAATCCCCAAGAAATATTCTGCATCATAGGAAGGTGCTCACTGCTGCCAGACCTGGAACAGGTTGACATGGGGCATGTGCAAAGAGAGAGCTCTGTATTGCAGGAATTGGGGTCCTCCAGGGATACAAAGAAGGTTGTTTCAAAGGGCAGCGTGCTGATTAGGAGACCAGCTGTGCAAAATTTTTCTTGGAGACCCAGAATTTTTACTTCCACCACCTCTTCTAGGGGCCTTTGCAAAGATTGGAGCAGCAAGCAAAGAACTGAAGCATTTAACTAGGCTCATAAAACCTAAAAGTGAATCCTTAGGCCAAATTATCTGGACATTTCCATTAGAATTAATTTATTTGATCAAGGGAAATGTCCACTTCTTAGTTGCTCCAATGAAATGTTTTTGCTTTCTCCCTCCTAAAGCACATTGTCCAAAGTTAAAGATTTCCCAGTTCTACTGCAGTGCAAACATTTTACATAGTTTCACAGAGGAAATGCTGGGTTTTCAGATGCTGTCAATGACTACTGAAGATTAGGCATTCATGGCATTTGTTTCATTCAAATAATTATTAGCTTTAATTCCCATTTCTAAGGCTGTTTTGCTTAATAAAAAATGGTTACAGTAAAAAAGTGACTGTGGCATTAATACACCTATTGGCAGTTATCATTTGAAATGCTGATGCTCCACCCAGGAGCTATTTATTGCATGATTTCTGCTATGTGGCTCCATGCTTTGGCTTTCTTCTTGGCCAGAGAGAACCAGATTGGCTCAACCGGCTCAACCAGCTCAACTGGATCCAATGGCTCAACCAGCTCAACTGGCTCAACTGGCTCTTGGAGCACTGCTGGGAGAGTTGAAGATCGTCTGGTTTCTTTTCCCATGGCAGGCACTTGAAATATCTTCGGATCTTCAAATCCTACGAGAACCACAGCAAATAACACACAAGCAGTAAGCAGCCCCAGAGAAACTGAGGCATGTTTACGGGATGCAATAAAATTTTTCCTCCTTTCAGGTTTCTTCCAGCTTCTAAAAGTCAGTGCATGGGCAATGCCATGGGTGGTATGTCAAAGGGGTCAAATTAATATGGCTCTGGCCACAGGGACCTGGACATGGGAAGGTCTGAGAGAAAATACCCACAGCTGTAACTGCCAATCTTTGAATGGTTATTATTGGATTGTCTTACACTTTTGAATTGAGACCACAGAGGAAACATTGTATGGTACCTGTTCGGTTTTTTAAATTTTAAATAAGGTAATATTATTTTTATTTTGCCAATCCATGATGTTGTGTGAAATGACTGATGATTCAACAGATCCATCCAGTAAAAGTCTATGCTAAATGACATTGTACCAACTGCTCTGACGCAGCAGACTACCTCCCTCTTCCCCAATTCAACTCCTTCCCTCATCCTGCTTTATGGTTGACTGACTTATGGCTTAGACTCAACCAGTGGTTCTCAAGCCTGGCTACACATTAGAATCACCTAGGGCTCTTTTTAAAAATACCAATACCCATGCCATTTCCTGAACTAACTGAATTGGAATCTCTAGCAATGGAGCCAGGGTCATCTGTAATTTTTAAAAAGCTCACTGGGTGATTCTAATGCACAGTAAGAGTTGAGAACCACTTGGCAGGAGCATAGTGCCCATGAGGCCATTAATAGCTATGAGCAGGTCAGGCACTGCTATTTCATGGCCAGACAATGGGTTCCTAAATTCCTAGTCTAATTTCTTCATGAGGGGCCTAAGGGAGAGGACAAAGATGAGGCAATATAAGTCCACTCTCCACTCCCCCTGCTCCTGCTGAAAAAAAAAAAACCCTCTGGCACACAACTCCACTGATGAGACCACATTCTATTCTATCCCAGCACAGTGTTTTCTCAGCTTTCAACGTTTCCTTACCTCTCATACCCCTGCTCAGAATATGAGGGGGCTGAAACAAGCTTTTTAAATAGTTAAAAAACAATTCAATACCATTGAGCCTTTATAGTGGATTATTTTCAACAGTTTCATTGGGAACATAGAAGGTAAGAAAATACCGCTTTGATATGAACTGGAAGGTAGCTTGGTTCTTTCCTCTTAAATACTAGCCACAAGAATGTTTTAGTGAGTGATCACAATTTTGTGCCTATACAGCTTCCTTGATGGCGTAAAAGACTGGAAGACTCTCTGAAAGTTACACACTGGACTTACAGTAGTCATAATAATTGGACTTTCCTAAAACAAGTTAATATCTGTATCTAATGGAAGAGCCATGAGAGAATCATGAAGCTGATTTGGGGAGGAAGAGACATGTATTGTCTGAGCTTGAAATTGCAAAAGTTTCACAACATTCCACCAGAGCTGTTTTTGGGGGAGGAAGGTTGGGGTGTGTGTTTTTACCTGCTTTGGTAGACTTAGGTAGCTTCATCTGTGCCATCTTCTCCTGTCTATTGACATTAGAAGTGAAATTCCTTCTTGGTTGTTTTTCATTTGCAATGCCAGTTCCCTTTAATACAAAAATGAAAACAGAAAGCTTGTAAGTCCTGACATGAAAACAGCAAATTACTTATTCAGAAGATCACAAAGTACAAGCCCTGTCCTGGGTATTATGAGTTCAACATTAATCAAAAGGAAAGAGATAGAGAGCTAGAGGGAGAGAGAGATAAGGAAAGAAATAGCACTGAGAGTACCTTGGTTCAGAATTTAGGTTCACAAAACCTAAGCTGGTTCTAGTTTACCACCTTTTAGATCTGAAAGAAAATGTCTAATCATACAAATAGCGTAAACAGGTTAACATGAGAACTATATAACTTGAGAACAACCTTTTCCCTAGCACTTTACCAGCACCTAAGAGCAAACTAACAGAATGTGGTGGTTACAAACAAATCTTATCAATTCATTGAAGTGAGTTCCGTAGGATTTCTACTTAGCAAAACTTGTTGACATCTGACTTGCACTCCTTGCATTAGAAAGTGATATAACTGTAGGTCTTTTCAAAATTGTACAGTTTAAGTTTTTCTTTTTTTTTAATTTTTATTTTTATTTATTTTATTTTTTTCCCCCAAAGCTCCAGTAGATAGTTGTATGTCATAGCTGCACATCCTTCTAGTTGCTGCATTGTGGGACGCGGCCTCAGCATGGCTGGACAAGCGGTGCGTCGGTGCGCACCCAGGAACCGAACCCGGGCCACCAGCAGCGGAGCGTGCGCACTTAACCGCTGAGCCACAGGGCCGGCCCAAAAATTTTTCAAATTAACTTCTCCACAACTGGTCTAAATGAATGAGTTCGTATACCCTAGTGTATTACCCCTGACAAAAGCTTTAACCAAGGTGAACTTTGCCCCTGCATAATCCCACTCCCATAAAAATATTAGTGATAAAAATGACAAGCTCTTTAAAGCAAAGAGTTAAACAGATCCTCACGTGATCCCTCAACAACAGTCAGCACTTAAAAATGTAGGAATTTAGACAGATCTCTTGATATGTAAATTTGATGTTTTCCTGAGTCAGTTTTCTGCAGTTTTGACAAGAGGGATTCTCATTCCAACACTTCCAAAGACATTGCAAATGGGACATTGGAAGCAAGACACAGTCTCATTATCCATGATCCACATGTGGCACCATTAGCCTAGTCCATCACATAACTTTTCTTTTAACCTATAGGGAGGTGCCACACCAAACCAAATCAATATGTAGAAACCCAAACATCAAACATTACCTTTGTTTACATAAAAGTAAATCATTATGTACTGATACGGAAAGGTGCTCAGAAATAAAAAGTTAAGTGAATGATAATATGTATAGTTTAAATCCATTTACAGTTTCTTAAATACATGTACATATTTATGGGCATAAAATATCTGTTACTCAACTCTCACCCCAGTGGTTACTTTTTTTTTATGACTTACTCCTTATTTTTCAACCCATTTCATGGAATCCTGCTCTAGAATATTTAGGACAGGATTTGATTTATAGAATCTTCTCATATTCATTACTTTTCACAAATCCTTTAAGAGCATAAAGCGGGGCATGTTTGTATGAGTACAAAGCAAGTCTTTTCCCCTGAAGAGTCCCCCTGCCTTGATTAACACACCCAAAGAGGTGGGGAGCTGCATGCCTGACAAAGTTCCCGATGCAAGCTTAACCAATTGGCTCCAGCAAACTTTTGGAGTATTTTGTGGGTTGCCCCAGGTCCTACCCCATATCTAGGCTCCTTAGTCTCAGCCTTGGCTTCAGCTCTATTCTTGGTTTTTGGCTCTTTCATAGGAATGTGGGCCTGGAAACTCCTTTGCCTCTGCTTCACCATGGTTATCCAAGCTGGCTCTGAGGTGGTATAATCTGACTGTCGATCAGGAGCCTTTCCTGAGAAAGGAATGAAAGGAGTTAGAACTGAAGTGAGGCAGGCAGGGTCTTGAGCCTGGCTGGTGCCTACCCACAATAACGTCCCCAATGAGATCCTTGTTAATTGACAAATGAAAATAAACAGATATCACGTAGAGAAGGGCCCCCTTCTTTTGTGCCCTCCCCACAGCCTGGCAAGGCAGGAGTTCCTTGGGTAGATAAGAAGCTGTACTTCAAAGTTTGCATACTGTCATCTTACTGGTCCCTTTCTCTCCCTTGTCCATCCCTCTTCCTATCCCCAAATGGGAGTAGGACAATGGTTTCCAGGTGGGCTGGGAAAATGCCTGGGAGGCCAGAGGCTCAGGGCATTGATATCATTCCTCTAACTCCAAGGAAAATCTTATAGTATTTGTTACTTCATAGTTCCTCATGCAAGTGTGTGGTTACACGTGTGTGGTTATAGGCATATACAAGACTGTGTGATGGTGAGTCTGAAGGTACAAAAGCTTTGAGAGAGATTGGTGCTCAAAAGATCACCTAGCTCTGGATTCTTAGACATTTCAAGTGAGTGAAGAAGCTGTGGAAGTACAAACATTTACAGTAAACTAAGATTTCAAGCCGAGGGTCTGAACATAGTGCTCTGTTAATGAGCTGCCTTTAAAAATCCACATGGTGTTGGGAGGAGCATAATATATGTAACAGTATTTTGAGAAAAATACAAAATTTCATCTAAATATAAGGTGTACAGAGGGTAGGGGAGAGGGAATGGGGAGATGGTCATGTGTCTATTACAGAATGTGGATGGATGTCCAGAGAGGACCCCCTTGGGAAATGGAAGACTCAAAATTAAGCATCTCCAGATCCATTAATCTAGAATGGGACACTATCCTGCCCCTAAATCCCCAAGCCAGCCCTATCAAAGCAACAACTCAGCAGGCAAGGCTAGAATAGACTTCCTCCCATTCAAGACTTTGATTTCCAGTTCTTCCCTCCATTTGGTACCTACTTGCCATCTGGAAAGATAAAGTCTTACCTGGGATCTTGTAAGCCAGTTCCTTCTTGGCCATGCTTGCAGATTTGGGCCTGCTCCGTTGCTTCTTTCCAAAGTCAGATATTGTGGTGAGGTTCTCTGTGGTGCCCAGGAGCCCCTGGGAGGTGCTTCTTTTGATTGGCTGTTCTCTACCTATGGAAGATGAAATTGGGCCCAAAGAGAGTGAAGGAAGCTTGGTAAAATCATCTTGTTTCTCACTCTTGTACTTCTGTGAGGAAGGGACTCTTCTCAGTCGGACTCCAAAAAGATTTTCAACATCAGCCCCGTTGGCAGATAAATTCGAATGGCTGATATTTCGATCACCACTCTGAAGAACTTCCTCCTTAGAGTAAGTGTCCCCTGAAGTGGATGTTTGCCAGGCAGAAGCAATGGTGAACTTCACAGGTTTGGTAGCAGTAGCTGGCATGTTCTTAATGAGGTCTTCAGAGCCTTGGCTGTGTTTCTTGGTTTTGTTTGGAGAAGCTGGGCCTCTTGGTAGGGACCAGTTGCTAGAATTGCACTCAGAAATGGTTCCCTCAGCAGCAGCACTCACGGAACTGGAATAAACCTGTTGCTGATATTCAGGATCTGCAAAAGCCTGAAAAGGGTGCCTCGGAGGCAGGGGCTTCTCAGAACTGTTCCACTCTACAGGTACACTCACTGAGCCTGTTGAGGAAATATGTGGCTGGAATTCAGCCACATCCTCGGCTTGGAAAGGGCATCTGGACGGCAGCTGCTCTTCAGAACTCCGTTCTTCAGTGGAGCTCTCAGAAACTGAGTAGACTTCTTGCTGGTACTCCAGCTTCTCCAATGCCTGGGAAACGTGCCTGGGAGGCAGCCGCACTTTAAAACTGCTGCACTTCACAGGAGCCCTCTCTGAATGTGAGAAAACTTCTTGCCGGTCTTCAGGCCTCCCCAAGGACTGCAAAGGGTGTTTCGTAGGAAGTAGCTTCAAAGAAATGCCTCCCTCGTTACCGGCACTCTCCCAACCTGCGAAAACTTGGTGCTCAACTTTAGGCCTCAACAAAGATTTGGAAGGTTGATTTGAAGACAGAGGATCCACATAACTTTCCCCCTCAATAGCAGGGCTCTCTGAAAAGATTTGCTGTGCCATAAACTTCACAAATGACTGGGAAGGATGCCTGGGACGCAGCGATTTCTTAGACATGCCTCCTTCAACAGCAGTGTTCTCGACACATGAGGACATTTCCTGAACTTTAGACCTCATTAAGAACTGAGTAGGATGTTCAGAAGGCAGTGGCCTTCCAGAAATATCCCCCTCAACAGCAGCACTCTCAAAACTTGACATTTGCTGGACTTTATGTCTCACAAAGGACTGGGGAAGATGTCTGGGAGACAGTGGCTCTGTAGAAGCGCCCCCCTCAATGGCAACACTCTCTGGACCTGCAGAGATTGGTTGGTTGACTACTGGTTTCATCAGGGGCTGAGAAGGCATTGTGGGAGGCAGTGGCTCCATAGAAATGCTCTCCTCAACAGCTGTGCTCTCTGGACCTGCAGAGATTTCTTGCTTGGCTATTGGTTTAATCGGGGGCTGAGAATGATGCCTTGGAGGCAGCAGGTCCATAGAATTGACCCCTTCAATAGCAGCAATTTCTGGATTTGAGGAGACGGGTTGCTCAACTTTAGGCCTCATCAGGTGCTTAGAAGGCATTCTGGGAGGCAGCGGCTCCGTAGAAATGCCCCACTCAACAGCAATGCTCTCTAGACTTGCTTGTTGCTCAAATTTAGGGCTCACCCAGGGCTGGAAAGGGTGCCTGGGAGGCATCGGTTCCACAGAACCGCTCCATTCTACAGAAGCACTCATTGAACCTGAGGAGACCTGCTGCTGAACAATCGGCCTCACAAAGCGCCGAGAAGGGTGTCTGGGAGGAATCTGCGTCACAGAAACATTCCACTCCTCAGGTGTGTTCTTTGCAACTGAGGAGACTTCTTGTTGGTCTTTGGGCTTCCCCAAGGCCTGGGAAGGGTGTCTGGGAGGCAGATCTTCCTCAGAGCTGCCCCAATCCTCAGCACTATTGTCCTTTTCAACATAACTATTTGACTCTGTGGAGACTTCTCCAGGCTCCCTCAAAGCCCGGGAAGCGCATCTGGGAGCCAGCTGCTCATTAGAACCGCTCAATTCCACAACAAAACTTTTTGATTCTGTGAAGACTTCTTGGCTGTTTTCGGGCTTCTCCAAGAAATGCAAAGAGTGTCTGGGATCCAGCTGCTGTTCAGAACCACTCCTCTCCTCTGAAGCACTCTCTGAATCCGAGGAGACTTCTTCAGCTTCGGGCTTCCCCAAAGACTGGGAAGAATATCTAGGAAGCAGCTGCTGCTGCTCAGAACTGCTCAGTTCTACAGCTGGACCTTCTGATGCTGCAAAGCCTTCTTGTTCATCTTCGGGCTTCCCTAAGGACTGGAAAGAGTATCTGGGAGCCAGCTGCTGCTCAGAACCACTCCCCGCCTCTGAAGTGCTCTCTGAGGAGACTTCTTCAGCTTTGGGCTTCCCCAAGGACTGGGAAAGACTTCTGGGAGGCAGCCTCTCTACAGAAATGCCTCCCTCTGCCAAAGCACTTGCCATACCCCAAATGCTTGCTGTGAAGGCCTGGAGAACATTTCTAGGAGGTTTTTCTTTGCAGATAGTTGGGATATCTTGAGCTGACTCCATTTTAAATTGGATGCTTTGCAAGTCAAAGCTGGAAGCTTCCTCCTCTTCTGACTGAATATGAGAAGGATCCATAAATACTCGATCCTTCACTGCCACTGAGAAAAGGACATCTTCAGTTGTAGAAAGGCTTTCCACCACTGGTAAAAGAGAAGCTCTGGCTTCTGTCTTCTTAGCTCCCGAGGCCCCATCTTCATGGTATGGTGATGGACCACTAACTATGGACTCTTCCATGTCTTCAGGTATGGGTTGTGATGCTGATGCTTTGCTGGCTTCAAAATCTATACTGGCATTTCTCCTTCCCATGTCATCTTTATCTGAAAGCAACTCCTGAAAAGTTGTGGTTTCCGCTTGTGGAGTTATGGGCTGCTCCACAACTAGCTTCTCCAAGGACAGGTGCCAGGGAGGGCATTCCCTGGCAGTGTTATCATCAGCTGGGGATCCAGCTCTATCATCTAGGCCAAGCCCATGACTGGATTGTTTCAAGCTTCTTCCTCTGGGACCACACTCACTCATTACTGAAGCACTTGACCCTTTTCTTACATGTTGTCCTCTATACACTGCTGACAATGGGCAGCCCTGACTCTCAGCAGCATCTGTGTTTGCAGCCTGATCTGCTGTCTCCTTCTCATAAATCTCAGTTTTGTTTCTCTGTTCCTGGCTTGAGGGACCTGTACCAAATAGAAACAAGGCAAGGAAAAATATGTGTAAAATAAGAATACTCTGCCCTGCCCCAACGGGTACTTGTTTGCTATTGAATTCCCTAGTATGAAGAAGTAGCTAGCTATTCAGAAGATAGAGAACAACTTGGTCACTATTAGCCTTCCGCAGTTGGAAATTTTTAAATCAAAGTGAAATCCCAGTTTTATGAAGTGATTCCAAGGTTGGCTCATCACCGTTAGTCTGGTCCACCATTAGGTGTGAGACACATCAAAAGGCAATTTTTGAACTTGTAACAACAATTACCTTTTAGGAAACTGACTGGGGCAGGACGCAGGGAAATTTTACTTTCTAATTAGTATTTATATTTTCTACTTAATTCTACTTAATTTTCACATCATGTGAAGCTATTGTTTTATTTTTTAGAAAGGTGTCAACAGGGGTTATCTGGGAGGTAAGATTATGGCCCCCTTTTCTTCTGCCTTCTATTCTCTTGTATTAAAATAATCCAATGTAATATACATGCAAAGCAATTCTTGGAAAGCCTTAACAATTGCATCAGTCCATAGGCTTCAGGTCAAGCACAAAGCAGCAGTTATACAGATTGCTCGTCTCCTCTCTAGTACTTTTACTGAGAAACTCAGTTTGATCCCCAGGTGGGAGGGCCCGCACTGCCTTCCCTCCCTCATCTTCCCTCCCTCCCCACTGTAGCCCTAGCTCCATCTAGTGGTTTCACATCCAGCATACAGCACTGAGCATAGCTGGCTGCACTCCAAACCACTCCCATTATATGGAAAAGCAATCAAAGTATCTGCCCCCATGGACACTGAATCAGTTCTATCCTCTGTGTATAAAAGGGACAACTATTAAAAATAAATATGTAAAAAGGTAAAAAGAAATTAAAAGAGATTACTCATTTAATTTCTTTTTCTTTTTCTTTCTTTCTTTCTTTTTTTTTTTTTGCAGAACAGTTTCGTGGTTTCGTTAGTTTTCATGGGAAAATGTGTTTAGGGATATGCTGTCTTTGAACCCACAAGTGAAATCCTTTGTGGTAAAAATATGAAATAACTGTTTGACTTGATCTGTGGGAACTGGAATTTTGTTTTATCAAGTATTGCTTGAAATTCGCTTGCCATCAGCTGGAGCCAACACCCATATATACACACACACAAACACACAGAGAGATTTTCACTCCAGTGGTATTTATTGTTCGGGGATTTGATAGGTGTTGGCTGCCAAGGACATCTGTCTGCAGCTGCCCAAGCCCTCTTTGCTCATGGATATGGGAACTGGTCTCACTGTTAACACAAGACCTTTCCCCTCTACTGGAAGAGAAAGGCAACTTTAAGAAACTAGTTTGGGGCCAATTCTGTTATTATTGCTGAGGGGAAGGCGGAAAGGAAATCATTGGCTGCCTCAGATGTCTGGGCTCACTGAGGAACTCAGCATGCACGTTAGACTTGGAGAGGATTAAACAAACTTACAAACAAATCAACACAAAACACCTTTCTGGTTGGAAATTCATTTAGATAAAATAGGGATCCAGGTATGACCCTTTACCTAAATCCCACACAAGTGGCAATTGTATTAATTAGGCAGTTTAGATGGAGAAACTTGGACCACATTAATATGTATCTTAGATTGAAAGCTCTCTGAGGACCAAGGACAGCAGGCCTGGGTAATTCTCATTATACAGCTCCTGTCACTGTGCAATTAAGCTCGTAGTACATGTTTCTGGGGGAGGGTGAAGATGTGCCAACCTGCACTGTCATCTTTTGGCTTCTTTTGGTCAGCTTCTTTTGGTTTGTTTGTACTCTTCTCTTCTTCAAAAACCAGTAGAAGGCTTGGCTCATCCTGCTTTGGTTTCACCTAAAAGAGAGAAAGAAAGAGCTTGAATCAGACTGAAGTGTTCTCCATCCATCCCTGCATGGTTGCCAAAAAAAAAAAACATCGGGAGAAAAAAGTCCTTGATATCGAAATGGCTCTGTTGGGAACATAACAATACCATTAACGATGGAAATTATTTCCAGTGGCATCCATCACCTGGTGATCATTTTACCTATTGGAAGTAGTTCGCCTCGATTGGAAGTTTCTGGTCTCTGAATGATATGCTGCAGGGAACTCTCTAAAACACCCTGGAAACCACTGAACCACACTGCAAGGCCATAAATCTGAAAATGGGGTTGTTGGGCCTGACAACAATCATACTCTTGGCAACACTGGAATTCCCAAATTTGCTTCACCAGATCTGGGAGCCAAAATCAAATCCTGTTTGGCTTCTTTTCTGGGAATTTAGTGACAGCATGAATTATGCCTTTCCAGCTCAAAAGAAGAAAGAGGATTGGGGTTTTCTTTGGAAAGAAGAGAGAAAAAGATGAAGCATTCAGCCCTTACACTGAAGGGGTTGAAATTGGTTTAGTATAAACAAGGTTTTCAGATAATTACAGTGCAGCTTTGGGAATGTCGGAGTAGCACTGCACTGAACAGTGTCTGGAATTTGCTTAGTGTAAGCCCTTATGACATGCATCTAGAGACAAATGTTCGACTCTTTATTCTCCCACTCAAAGTGCCTGTGCAAACAGACTCAGCTCAAAATCATTTACTTTTGAGTGATGAGGTCAGATAGACCTGGGTTCAAATATCTGCTCCATCATTTACTCTCTGTGTGACTTGAGCATGTTAGTCTCTAAATCTCTGTGTCCACATCTACAAATTAGGGATAATGAGAAACCTCCCGTGGGACTTGAGACCTAAGAAATTCCAAAGCAGGGAGCAAATGGCAGCAGCCTCTGTGTCACAAATGATCCTGGACTCTTACATTCATCCATGTGTCAGGGAGAAAGTCACAAGGAAGTAGATGTCACAGCCTTCTAGAGAGTGCTGCCCAGGCCTTTCTTCAATTAGGCTATGCAGAAGGAAGAAGTTAGAAGGGTCACACTAAGTTTCCCTTAGCCAACATTCCCCATCTCCCAGGTTTGTGGTGAAGTGTCTAGGTGATAATGCATGTATAGGGTTTAGCACATAGTAATTGGTCACCCTCTGCTTGACACCAAACTAAAGAGATCCTCTCAGGGCCTGCCAACTGTTCATTCAACTTGTACTTCTTCTTCTTCTAAAGCTAAATTGAGATGTCTAAGCTAGGGGTGACATGGTGGGGTGAAAAGAGTACTGGGCTGGAAGTAAGAAGACTGGGCTCTGACCCCAGCTCTGCCACCACAAGGGTGTTTGATCTTGGGAAACTGTTTGTACTTGAATGTCCTTCCCTGTGAAATATTTGTAACTACAAAATCTTTTAGTCTCTTACAGCTCTGATTTATAGCCCTTTACTTATAGCCTAGAGTCACTGAGGAATTGGGTGTTTGACCAAAGTGAATCCTCCAGCTAATTGACATATCCTTTTAAACACTAACATCTTTTAACTCTTAGCTTTTAGTAAAAATCTTTTCCAAAGGCATTACTTCCCTATCTTCCTAAACAGAGATCAGGGAATATAGTTCAACTTTGCTTGATGACTCGCACAAATAATGAACATGATCTATTGCACTGGACTATGACACAGTGTGGCCCTGAGGGACTTATTGAGGTGGGCAAGGTTCTTGATCCCTGTACTAAATGGCCCCAGGTCATTTCTGTCATCTCTCTCTGCCATCAACTGTCACTTTTCCTTGTTGTCAGATCTATGAGTTTGATCTGTGACCATGTTTTTAACAAAATTGGCTTGCCTAAGTGTAGCTCTGACTGCTAGAAAGTCATGTGACAGGACTTTGTGACATCTATGTGACACCAAGAGATCTTTGGAGAGGTTAATATCTGAGTTCTGAATGCTTAGAGTTGCTGGAAGCCTGACCTCCAAATGAGTGGAATAGTGCTGCAATTTGTAACTCATGGGTGTTATCTGATTAATAATTAAAAGAATCCTGATCTGGACTATAGTTTAATATCTTCTACAAAGAGGGCTGAGTGAATTCCCAGATGCTAAGCCAATAAGCAGTTTCTCGGGGTTTAGGTCACTGTTTCTGCTTTCTTCAGTGCCTTTTATGTAAGTTCCACATGGATGGGGCGTCCCATCCACTAGATACAAGTTTGCTCACCTCTCCGGGGGTGTCAAGCCTGAGACAGTGCCCTTGACTTTACCATCCCTGCTCAGAGTATGTATCCCCCAAAGCATACCACTTCCCTAGGAGCAGTTTGCAAAGGTTGGAACTCATCTTTTATTGTATAGGAGTTTATTCCCAGGCCTCTTGAAGGACTTACAGCCACTTGAAGGTCCTTCTTCTTTAGTTTCCGGGGGTTTAAAGCCATCTTGTGTCGAGCAGCTGAAGAATCCAAACAGCCCTGGGTGGTGGCTGGGGTGCTGAAACCAAGAGGCAGCTGAGTGCTGCTGGGAGAGGCAAGCACGGCAAACGTGGTGAAAGACTGTGAGAGAACAGGTCCAGATGAGGGCTCAAAGGAGCTCTGGAGAGAGTGGGAGAAAAGAAAAGAGTCAACTCTGTTTGCTGTCACTGGTCTCAAAGGTTGGAAATTCCTCTCACTGAAGAATTCCTAAAGAAGAAATCCTTCATGAACTACTGTCCCTTTTTCCTACAGCAATATTGATACTTCTGGTCAATAGGCTCATTGGAGGCAAGGTGCACACTTTCTGCTTGTTCCCTTGCAGGTAAAAACAAGAAACAAGAAGTTTGGGCTGCTCCCCTGCTTAGAAAGCTCCCCTTTGACCACAGGATAGAAACCCAGCCATTTAATGGAGTTTACAAGGTCAGTTTGCATGTTCTCTTGTCCTGTACTGCCTTTTATTAATAGGAGGGGCTAACTGGGGTGAGAGGCACAATCTGTGTCAGTAAAACCCAACAGGGCTTTGGTTTCTCCATAGAAGGGCTTGGTGGAGGGAATAAAATCAGGTTGGAAGAGGGCTTGTCTGTAAGCTGTGTTTGCATGGACAGCACACTATCTTTCCTTATATTTACTGTTCATGGGTGCAAGGCTGATGGCAGCACCCTGAGGAACTGAGTGTTCCCACCCCCAGTGGGGTAGGGATGGAGCCTGTCACCTTGTCCTCATTATGACTGGCCTCCACCTCTTCAAACTATCTGATCCTGGGGCTCCTAGTTGGGTTTCTCTGTAAGAGCTTCAAAATACTCTTTTCTGGGCTTCTTGACATAGCATTTTCCACACCTCAAAGAGAGATTGCAGAGCGCCTCTCATTCCTAGGAAGCTCTAGATATTTGTATTAGCAGAAGCCCCTTTGAAGGCCAAGTGATGAGCCATCTCTTTCCTGGACACCAGTGGAAAATGATGTAGTTTAGCAGGGGGACAAAATTTACATTTTTGGGTACTCATTCATTCTTTTCAAACTAGCTTTACACAGTGCCAGGGACCCCTTTGGTATTTGCAGCTCTCACAACCCTTCACATTTCCCCACCTCCATTGTTGGTTGATCCAGTGATAACCTTAGCTACTATCTTGGTTCCAAATATGGTGCTTTTATGGCCTGTGATTCCAATGCTAATGGGTGAAGCTGACGATACATCCAGCTCATCATTCTGTTTTTAATTTTAGGAAACGGGGGAGGAATACTACAGTTATCTTTTGTGGGGTCAATCACACAAAATTAGGAGTGGTCCCAAGCCTTTCCTAACTTCTTTATGCAACTGTCACCCATGAATTTATTTATCACCTCTTACTGATACTGTATACTTGGCTTATGTTATCAATTGGAATTATGAATTTAATACTCAGTGTACCAAGTAATGTCTCTCGTTTTATTGTTCTGAAATTTTTTCATGCTTCAGAGTGGTCTTATAGTTCTGGTCTTCTGGAACTGGATGACAACACTTATGTTCCCACTAACCTCATGTGATCTATCTCCCCATTTCCTCCCTGACCATGTCTCTTACTACTTTCTGCTCTAGACACACTGCTGGTTTGCTGTTCCTCAAACATTCCATGCATGCTCTTCCCTCAGGGCATTTGCACTTGCTCTTCCCTCTGCTAGGAATGCTCTTCCCTATGTCCATGTGGCTAGCTCCCTCACTTCCTTCAGGTCTTGATACAAAAGCTACTTTCTCAGTGACACCTTCCCTGGCCAACCTATTTAAAATTTTTGCCCTCCACCCTGACACTTCATAATCCTCTTCCCTGTGTTATTTTTTTCTCCTTGGCACTTTGATCACTGTCTAACATACTGTATATTTTGCTTATTTATCTTGTTTATTGTCCATATCCTCCGCTACAAAGATAAACTCCATGAAGAAGGGTTTTTCATCCGTTTTATTTAATACTGTATCTCTAACACCTAAAATTGTCCTTGGTACATAGTAGTTGCTCACTAAGTGTTTCTTTAAATGGTGAACTAATTATGTTAAAAGCTTCCACCAGCTGTTACCTTTTTGAGAAGTCATCAGAGAAAGCTCCTCTGTTCTCTAACATTTTAGTTATTCTTCCTGAGACCTCACTAGCTCTAGCCAAAGGTAAATGGAAAAAATCAAGGAGGTCTGTGAGTCTGGAAACCCTAAAAGGACACCATGCAACTTGCTTTGCATGAAAACTAACTTATGATGCCTAGACAGCAAGTAAACATGCATTTAATAAACATTTTCAATTCAGTTGGCATCCCAAACTTTATGGTATTAACACTATAGACAAAAGCACTGTTTAGTGAAACTCATTCTATAGCATAACAGAGAAATCAGGCTCAGAAAAATTCTGGCAATTTCTAGATTGTGCACAGGAGAGAGCTTACTGTTTCCAATCACAGCCTGTGCCAAGAGTCCATCAAACTTAATAATAGCCACTAGTCTCCCTGTGCTTCATTGACTCTCATTAAGGAATCTATAGGCATTAGATCTAAACACAGACCCACAGCTATCCTCAACCCTGGGCTAAAAATGAGAGAGCAAAGCCATCAAGTATTATGCCCACCTGATTATTGTGCTCCAGCTCGGGCATGTGATTCAAAACAGCCCCAGGAGAATCTCTATTTTTGGGTTTAGAGTATGTTGTATGGGTATAGAGTATGTGTATATTTTATAACTTTCCTTAAAATCACTAGTGAATTAAATAAACTATTCATTTAATAAACTATTCAAACTCTCTGGAACTCTGGGCAGTGTTTCTCAAAGTATGGTCTGGGAACCCCCCAGCATCAGAATCACCTGGAGTGAGTGTAGAAGAAGCACATTTTAAGGACATATCAAGACCTGATGAGTAAGACTATCAGGGGAGGGGCCTTAAAATAGCTTAACAGGCTCCCCAAGTGAGTCTTCTGGGGGCCAGGGTTGCAAACTACTGCCCAATCCTCTGGCATGTAGAGAAAGCCTCCCATCTTCAAACAGAAGCACAGCAAGTTCCTAAATAGCCCCATCAGTTGCCTTAGAACAGGAGCCAGCAATATCTGGATTCCTTCTGGGAAGTGAGGCTTCTTCTTAGGCCCTATCTTTTCCCTCAGTCTTATTGGTTAGGAGAAACCTAGAAAAGTTACCACAGGAGCCAACCGCAGAATTTTATGAGCTACCCAGAAAAAGCAAACCTAATCCCTTTCGGGAAGGTTTATGAAAGAAAAGCGAGCGAAGGAAATGGGGCTTCCTTTCTCTACTTTTCCTTCCACACCCCTCCTCCCCGCACTCTGAGAGCCAACAGACCCTCTCTGTACCCAATGTCAGATGTCTTCATTTCCTCTGTGTTTTAGAGGGAGGTTAGCGAGGACAGCTTCTGATTAACAGCTAGAGTTAAATGAGCTCCTTTTGTCCCAAGATCTGGGAGATGTATCAAGCCTGGTGTCTACTAACCCAGAATCTTCCTGAGGAAGGAACCTGGGTCAGGCTTTGGGCCAGGGGAAGGGATCCTTCAGCACTAGTTGGCAGGGCTGCTGGACACTCCTTTGCTGTTAAGTTGGGGTAAGGGCTGCTCTTGGGAAAATTAAGACACATTTTGGTTCCTTTTTCCCCTTCTGTCAAGTTTCTAGACCCAGTGCAAAATAGTTCAGTTAACATTGCACGCTTTTGGTCTTCTTTTTGATGGTTTCTTTGTCTGTTGTATGATGCTCGAGTTGTCCCCTTTTCCTTTAACTGTTGATAAGAAACACTTGAGTGGGGATAGAGAGCAGTTTGGCTGCTTCTTGGAACAAAGGAGAATGCTGATTGTTATTTCTTATATAAGGGCATTACCCGGTGGCTATTTAGGCCCAGATTTCATTAAACATTTGGCCCAAAAAGCTATCACCCTGGGGAAAAGCTCACTCTGAAACTGTCTGGGGGGGTTGACACTAGGATGCTGGGGAGCTGGGTTCTGTGCGAGCCATTCAGCCCACAGCTCGAGAGGCACGTAGTCTTTGGAACATCTCCAGAAGAAGCAGCAGCTCTTTGTGGGAAAAGCGGTTCTCGGTGGGAGGCTTCTCCACAAGATGTACTGGCATGGGACACGAGACCCGATATTGGCTGTTAGGATTTTAATTTCCCGAGTGTGTCAAAGTGGCTTATGTGCCCATTCCTGAGAATTCCTGTGCAGCTGCTGCTTCACTCAGAATCTTTGCCTCATAAAAGCTATTGTGGCAACCATTTTGCCAACTTGAAAGTTCTAGGAGGTGGAATTTCACATATTCCCTGCTGCTTGCCTCCTATCACAATCTCTTCAATTTCTTAACTAGTATAGAGAATAAGAACATAAACTTTGGATTTGAATAGACCTGAATTTGAGGTCCTAGCCATGCCATTTATTGGCTGTTTGACCTGGGACAAGTTACCTAACCTCTTTGAGCCTCAGTTTCTATGTTTCTGAAAAAGGGATAACAATAATATACACTTAAGTGTGCTGTGGTAAAGATGAAATGAAATGATACAAGGGAAGTGCCTTTCACATAAGAAAGTCTCACTGTGTTAGCCGCCGTTGCTGTTGCTGGGTGTCGATTGCACAAAGAGAGCTGCTGGAGTCCATGTGGTTTGGCGGAAAGTGCTATAGATTTGGGCAGGAATCCTGGGTTTGAGTCCCAGCTCTCTCTCTAATTGGCTCTGTGGTCTTGGCCAAGTCATTTCACCTCTCTGAACCTCACTGTTTTTCATCTAAAAGGGGAATAATAGTATTTTCTCTATCTACCTTACAGAGTTATTGAGAGAATCAAATGCACCTATATATGCAAAATCATTTTGTAAGCTACAAATTTCTATGCAACAATGGAGAGGGGGCATAATGTTTTCCTTTGATGTATCAGAGAATTAAAAAAAATACTGATCTGAGTTTCAGAGACCTATTTGTAAATAATAATGGTGAATTATGAAGTAGGCCATCAAGGGTAAAGCAAGAGACATGATAAGGAGGCAACCTTGCAGCAATCTAAATTAACTCTTCATTAGCCAATACAATGGAATAACTGGCAGCAACTTAACCCCCACCATGTTAAATAGCAACATTTATCCTGCAATGGAACTAAAGCCCAGGTGTTTAATCAGCTCAAACTTTAACCA